CTGGGGAAGGTGGAGGGAGGTAGGAAGACCGGAAGGCCAGATGCCAGATGGATGGCCTCTATTAAGGAGGTAACGGGTATTAAGGGATTGCAGGAATTAAGCGGAGCAGTGGAAGACAGAGGGTCTTGGAGATGTCTCATCCATAGGGTCACCATTAACAACAACAAAAAGCTCCATTGCATTCAACAGGACTTCTTAGGAAAATGTTTATATACTTTTATTCTGAATTATTCATTAGAGAAGGAAAAATTGAAACTGGTTTCAATAGTCTTAATAAATAAAGCAGATGCTGAAATCGCTGCAATGAATTAGAGACACATGGGATAAATAGGAACAGTAACCTTCCAAAGGTTTCTTTATTAACCTCTCCACAGGGAGAAGCCATTGAGAGCAGAACAACAATGGCCTGGAATGCAAACCAAACAAATTCCCTGGTTACCCAAGATTCAACTTCTAGACTGTTGCAATAATCAACAAAATATCTGTGGAAACCACATTCTGGTATATGGCAATAAACGGTTTTCTAAAAAACAAGCCAGAACTTTCTATTTGTGTATACTAGTTTTGAAGTGGCATTGGATTAGCAGATATATCATAAACCACAGTGCTTCCATGCAAACTGTTCATGGGAGTTGCATTTTATGGCTATAACAGAATGGAAGGCTAATCTCTGATATGGAATGGAAGGCCAACCCTAAACTCAGTCACGTTCCACTACTCATTCAAGAAAGAAGCTGTGGGCCTTTGCAGACTGCCAGAAATAGTGCACATTAAATTGAGGCACTGCCCTGGCTCAGTGCTAGGGAATCATGGGAACTGTAATTTATTGTGGCACCAGAGCTCTCTGACAGAGAAGGCTCAATGTCTCAGAAAAAAATACAATTCCCATGACTCCCTAGCACTGAGCCAGGGCAGTGCCTCAATTTAATGTGCGCTATTTCTGGCAGTCTGCAAAGGCCCTGAATTACCTAAACTGAGCCACAGCACCAGATGGGAGACGGCCAATGAATCCTGGTACTATAGGTTATATTTCAGATGAAGGAACTGGCAAATAGTATTCTTTGCCTAAGAAAACCTTAAGATTTTTTTTGTGGGTTTTTTCGGGCTGTGTGGCCATGTTCTAGAAGAGTTTCTTTCTGACGTTTTGCCAGCATCTGTGGCTAGCATCCTCAGAGATGCTATGGATGCCGGCCATGAAAGCCTACAACTTCACAAAACCTTATGAATTCATAAGGTCACCATAAGTGAAAAGGCAACTTGAAGGGGCATACACGCACATACAGTTGTCCTGGAACACAGTTCTTATGGACATTATGTTCCTTAATGTATCATTCCCACAATGTGACTAATGGATTTGGTTAGACTGTTTATTCCCCAAAACAAGAATTCTAAATACCCCTCCCTGACCTCCAAATCCTGGGATTCCATAGGATGCAGCTATCTCAGTTAAAATGGAATCACAGCATTAGAACAGTGTAATATGAAAGAACCAGAAAAGATCCTGAAGAGTAAAGATATGCAACTGAGCACTAAAGTTAGAATAATCCAAAGCCATTGTATCCCCCATCACCATGTACAGATGCAAGAGCTGGACAGTGAAGAAAACAGACAAAAAGAAATTCAACTAATTTGAGATGTGACATTGGAGAAGAGTGCTTAGGATACTGTGGACAGCCACAAAGGACGTTATCACACGGGGTCTAAAGCAGTGCCATCCCCGTCGC